AATTAACTAACTTCTACTTTAAGCAATTAATAATGACTTCTGAAAAATTGCGAACAGTTGCTACAAAATAATTGCATAATGGGCTAGTATGTTTTTGATCCGTGTAATTCGCAAGATATGTTTTGTTTTCCTCATGTATATGACAAAATCGTATTGTTTAACACAATTCAATTGAGGATTGCACATTGCCATAATGCAAATAGAAACCATTGTGTTTTTGCACAACATGTCATTTAGCACTTCTATTTACATATTACACACGCAACTAGCAATGCTGAACTTCATTTATACAAGCAATTCAAAACTCATCGTCTACTCAAGGCAATTCACTGCACTGAACTAGATCTTGAAACTATTCTATTTTCCACTGAATTACTCACAGAAGACCATGTTTTTATGGTACAGAGAAGTCAATTAAAGTCACATTTCAATCCAATCCAAGATCAATGAATGATTGTATATGAATAGAGTCTTAGATATAACGATTCAGCATGATCATGCGAGAAGAACCGAGTGCTTTTTGTGACAAAAAACGTTGACGCTCAAAATAATATCTGAAGTTAAAACCACCCATATTTTCTCGCTTTATTACCACATTTTGCAATTTTCGAAAATTCGGAGAGATCAACGAAAATTAAACCTGCGCCATTTCTGGCGTTTTTTGCTCTATCAGTAAAAAAAATATAATATAGAAAAAAATTGTAGACGTTAAAAATAATAAAATGCATTAATTTCAAGCAGAAATTGCGCTTGAACATCTCATTTTAAAAAATGTACAGGATCTTATTTAAAGATTTAATTTTTGTAACAGATTTTATTAGATTAACAAAAATAATCAGAATATGAATGTTAAGAAAAAATGCTATTTAAAAATAACTAGTGAACAAAGGCAACGGAAATAATTACGACATTTAAAACATTCCATTACAACTATGAAATATGTAATTGCAAGTAATGAAATCTACTAATAAGAGAGAGATATCTATAGATAATGTCATAGTACTCAGAGTCAGATCAATTCGTTGCAAACAGTTCGTAAATAATATTTCGTCACGATTATTTATTGCTCATTTCCTTGTTCAAGTAATCACTCAAAAAATGATCACTCATTAATTGGTGAAAATGTAAGGAAATTACAAATCTGTTTATATTAATAATTTCAGAATACGACGTTCGTTTCCCCAGGTGTCTAAAATTACCAACAAAAATATCACTTAATTATTTGAAAACTATTTAACTCTGCATATTTAACCTTTGGTAATGTATCTCTCGAAATAACCTCAACATTTCTTTGATATGGGCCCTTTTTTGCGTTCTTTCATTACGCTCAACCGCCGAATTCTACTAATGCATTAAAGTACAAAATCTCTCTTTCCAGACGGGGATTATAATTCTATCTAGAAGATTGTTTTATGATGTTACATTATTACAACAATCCTGCTTGATGTACTGAAAGAATATGATTAATCTAAACTGTTTAATATATCTACATTATCAAGGATTCTGCTGTCAATGCAGTTAGCATTACATGTTCTTTATTTGTATTACTAATATCGAACGCGTAAATTGAAAGAAACCTTTATAGCCTCCAGTCATAAGATGGTTGGTTCGTCGATAGAGATTCCGGACGCGTCAACTACTGAAATCATTACTCCTTTTCTTAGGGTACTGCTCCGGCATTCGCCTGCTGTCGATCAGGGAAACCACTGAAAAATAACGATCAGAGCAGCCGGACTCAAACTTTTTACAGATAGCGATTAAATTCTACCTTGCTGACAAGCTAGTGTTGAAAATCTTGCCACTGTCGGGTCTTGAACCTAGAACCTCTCGGTCAAAGCCACTGCAGTTACATCAGTTGATGCACTGAACCACCTCTCCGCATCCAGACATAAGAAGTGTCTTGGGTTTCTATAGGTAGCCAAAACATAAATCAAACGAAAAAAATCAATGGCGTTTCAATTCTGACCGAAAAATCCAAATATTTGATTGATTGCGCTTATTCTCATAGAGCGCGCACCAACTGAATTATCATACTCAGTGCGATACTGATAACGATACAGTTGACGTCATGTAACAGCAAGGCTTTAAGGAAGAGGCCACCTGCCATTAAATATTTGCTCTTCAATTGTTACGTTATGGAACAGCAACGTTTTTGATAATCTTGGTAAGTACAGAACTATTGCACTAAGTATTAAGTGTAGCTCATAGTACAGCTCATACAGTACTCCTGAAGACATTCCGTTAAAATATTTAATTTATTACAAAATTAAATGAGAGAATTTTACTTGTTCTCGATCAGTGTGGGTGCTACTTTTTGGAAACCTATTTTGTGTGATTCTGTTCAGGTGAGTTTTTTATTGCTCGAGGACACGAGCTTGGTTCTAATTCTTAACAATATTCCCAATATGAACACTTGATCTGTTTTCTTTAAATATGTGGTTCCAACATCGATAATGCACATACAAATCATTTTCTCCAACAAGTCATAGTCGTAATTTTGATTTCGTATAAGCCAGAATACAAAAACCGATTCACTTAGACACTTTGATGAAAACTGAATTAAAAGGTTAACAGCTTCTTTTGCAAGATGTTGATATACAGGGAAATAGCTTAACCTACATTCAACAGTTATGTTTGAGAATCCCATTGAAGTTCAACTGCCTATTTCTAAGGACAATCACGAAGTATATCAATTTCGATTTTGAACTTATCTTGTTGGCAGAAACACAAAGAAAGATCTAAAAAAAAGTCATTACATTCCACTGCAATTATAATTTAATTCACACAAACTTGTACTTTTCATTTGATTTGCTCTACATACGTAGACCATGAAATGGTGATTTGTGACGTCTTAGATAATTACGGCCAATCACAGACAAGAGCTACACACATTCTGTGTACTTGCAATGTGAACAATATGTACAGCTCGAAAACCTACTCGGAAGCCTGGATGCATTCATCTCCGATCTAGGTCTGCACTTCTCTCGTGCAGGAGCGCGGGATTTCAACTCAAAAAGGAACGCTGCGAGGCATGGCCTCGTGAAACATTCATACGCGGGAGAAGTCCTGTGTATACCTCGGCCTTCCAGACGATCCAAGGTGCCAGACTATTCCCCCCTCCCCGGGCGCTCTCGTTCCACTCTCAACCACTCAAGGTGGAAAGAACCCACGCACCATATGTGCGAGACGGGTTGCACTCATTTTTTCGAAATAAAGTTTAGAATGAACATTTTTTTGAATACAGTTTTTACTTTTTCGAAACCTTCTTTTTTACTTTTTCGAAACCTACTTTTCCAGATTTATCGTTACGAAAAACACTATAACCAATTTCGGGTTTTATAAGAAATTCGAATGGAAAAGGTTTTGAGGGGGAGATTGAAAATCGATCCAAAACTTATAACTTCCAGTAGACGTGAAATGAAATTAATTACGGAGTACTACCCGTTTTTTATTATTTCGATGTAAGTTAGGTTTCAGGACAGAGTGCAAGTCAACGATGACGAACTATTCCAGCGAAATTAAATATAGAAATTTGGAATCAATACGACGGTACAGTAAGAAATTTTCACAGAACAACAATATAAGTGAGGTATAACACAACGGATTTCTAATTTTAGTTGAGTTAATTAAATTATCCCTCATTTTATGCTTTAACATAAATTCAAAAAGAACAATCAGACATCGAAGTAAATTTCGAAGAAATCCGAGTGGGAAGACAAGTGAAGGCGCAACCAAGAAAAAGTGAATAACGGCGGAGAAGAGGATTAGAGACATGGTATCCGAATAAGAAACATATCGAGAAGAAAATCGCCTGATTCAATATTTGGAAAGTTCAGGTCACAACTTTTTTGTAAATTTATTACAATATGTACATGTTTATAAAATAAAATATAGGTTTATTCGTATTCTTATTATTACATTTTTAATTTAGCATTATTAAGTTTCGAAAATTTAGCTACGGAATATGGGACTTCGGGGAAAAGAAAATCGAAAAGAAGCTATTTGAAAAAATGTTCATTTGGAAAATTTAATTCAGAATCGCGACCTGAAACAGCGCGACATTCCTCCCCGCCGATACACGGCGCCAGACTGCCCCCATAGCCAAGCTCCTTTCCCACACTCGGCCAACCACATAGCCCCCGACAATACACTATTGTTTTGACACAAACTGTCATAGTAGCAGAAAGTCAATCCCCTCCAATTAATCTTCTATTTATTCGATACTATTTTAATGCTTCTAGAACTGCCTGAAATATTCATCACAGGTTTTGATAGCGAAATACCTTAGGATGATTTTAAATTAATTTAGTATGGCAAGGCACGGCAATCACACATATCAATAAATTGGAAAGAAACCGAAACAATTTCTTAAGACTGGTTATTATAGCTCCCTGATTTAATCCTAATGCGCAAATTCAAAAGGAGTTAAGAATTCGTTGCTCTAAAGATTACATTAACAAATGATCGAAAAAACAAATAGTTACGGCTTGAAGCTTGTACTAGCAAAAGAACTTTCAACCTTGGTCGTACAGTTCATACGCCAACCACGACATTGTCATGTTTTCCAAAGATTGCTTAAAGCAGCCATGAATTGCTGGTGATATGGATATAAACATTGTAAGTGATTATAATAATATTATTGTAATAAAAGGAAATAGGAACAGTAAATAGATTGAACATAAGTTCAAGTATGTGTACTTGTGCACCCAATGAAACTGAAGTAGACTCATGTCTTCAATGTAAAGTGTATAATTATAATAACAATAATTTATTACTGCAAATGAGCGAACGCTCGATGGCAATTCATCAAAAAAGAAATACAAAAATTAAAATTAAAACAAACAACACATACAATTATTAAAAATTATTTAGTGTAAATAACAACACTCAAAAGACCTAAAGATTGAAATGAATAGGAAATGTTTCAAAAACATTACAAGTCAATTCCAAGGATTTCTAATGACAATGGCGACAAGGACCCTAGTGGCCGAAACACGCACCTCGATGCGGTTGCGGATGTCCATGCTGTAGCAGATGCCGTCGTTGGCGCCGGCTTCGGTCTCGCCCGCCGCCGCCGCAGCCACCTCCTCCTCCGCGGCCGCCGCCCCCGCCGCCACCGCCGCCGCCCCCAGCGCCAGCACCAGGAGCAGCAGCAGCGCGCGTCCGGCGCCCCGCCGCCTGCCCATGCCGCCGCTCCGCGCGCACCTGCAACCGTTACACACACTCATTCACGTTGTGCTTCAGTCATTGATCGACTGAGTGTTTCCTGGCGCGTCAATCATTGATCGACTGGTGTTTCCGGGCTTGTAAACCATTGATCGACTGGTGTTTCCGGGCTTGTAAACCATTGATCGACTGGTGTTTCTGGGCTTGTAAATCATTGATTAGTGTTTCCGGGCGCGTCAATCAATGATTGGTGTTTCCAGGCGCGTCAATCATTGATTGATTGATTAGTGTCTCAGGACATCCGAAATATATTTCAGAACTAATTGTTTATTTTTATAGAAATAAATAGTACATCAAGTGTATCATACAACAAGGAAACAACAAGATAAATTAGGCTTTCAAGATAATGAGGAACACTTTTTCCAGGACGAATTTGCCTGACTTTTGAAGGTTAACCAGATCTATTTCCCATCTTTTTCCACGACAAAATTTGTGAAGTATTTCAAGGTATTTAAATAAAATAAAGAAGGACTTAGGTCGATATTAAAATACTGTTATAGACTGAGCCCTTTGCTTTCCAGATTATCTATCACATTATCAACAGAAAGAAACAGATGAACCTCCATTCCAAACATACAATACCATTCTTTATCCATTCTTTACACTCAGATTCTACCGTAAAATGAAAAAAATAACAATATTTTCTTAACAAAGGAATTATCCGCTAGCGTTCTCTCATATAGCGCATAGTTCTGTAAGGTAATTCACAAATAATCCCAAATTTTTATTCTTGCAGACCTAGTACAATTAGAACAGAGTACAGATAATCAGATTTGTCAGAAACGGAAAAATCTGGCGGGACAGCGGAACACAAGTAGGGATGCAGCATTGATGATAAAACATCGATATTTTTGTAAAACCATCGCTGTGTTATCATCGAAGTATTAACACCGATGTTTTTTAGCATCCATGTTTTGGGATCGATTTTTTTCTTTCTCGATGTTTCGTCTAGGAATGAAAAATTCATTTCATCACAATACCATAAAAGTTAAAATATGAAATATCACTTATGGTAATATTGTTCATGTGTTGGAAGAAAAGGAAGTCTGTGTCATTGACCAAACTCTCTCGCCCGAGAGGACGTCCATGCCCTTGTATTTCGTCTTTCATCATATTCATTTCGCATATTGAGATGTGGTCAACGAATTTGTTGTGGACTGTAGGGTGTGCCCCTTCTCGTACCGTTATTCCGGGAACGATAAACACAAACACTGTCAAATTCAATTTTGTTACACATGAATGTAATGTTACTAAACCAGCTCGAAAACATTAATGTAGAAAAACATCCATGGTATTTAGTCGATGTCTGATTAACATCGATATTTTAATATGCAACATCAATGTATGCTAACATCAACGTCGCATCTCTGGAGACATGTCCATATTCAGGAGGTATGGGCCTAACCCTCCCCTGGGCGGATCTCGTGCGTCGCCGGTGCGTGGGATCGAGCTGTGCTCGGCGGTGCGTGCGCGGGTGCGGGGAGGGGGGGGGGAGAGGCGTCGGCGGCGTCGCCGTGGCGTGAGAGCCGCCTCTACGCAACGCAACGCGACGCGCTGCGTCCGGGCAGCGCCCGGTGTCGGCTAACGCACGGGCGCGTGCACGTGGCGCCGGCACGTGGCGCGTGACGCTCCGCCGGGCGCCCGCGCCGCTCCCAGCGCTGCCGAGTGGGCGATGCGACATCGACAACGCAACATCGATGCTGCCAAACATCGGTGTTCAAAATTAAAACATCGGTGTTCAAAATTAAAACATCGGTGTTCAAAATTAAAACATCGATGTTCAAAATTAAAACATCGGTGTTCAAAATTAAAACATCGATATTAAAAATACACAAAAAAAACAACGATGTTTTTAAACATCGCTCACATATTACAATACATCGGTAGAGTATTTTTAAGATAGACTGATCTTTTTCACTCAGTGGGGGCTCTTTTCTTTCTCTTTCATTTTCGAATTCACGAACGCACTACTTCTAACCTGACAACTGCATTGTAATGCTGATGTTTCACTCGCAGACACATAATGTTATTCAGCCCAGAAAATATATGCATGAAATACCCAGAAATATTTGCATAAGGTTTAAAAACCTGGAGACTTTTTACTACATTCTCTTTCTTATCGTTCAATGGTTACATTTAATACTTCACACTATTAATACAATTAAGTGTTAAAGCCTCTACTTTTGTTACATTATGTAGAAAAACTATTCTGTACATTTTTCTGCCTTAAGTTGATCATATTTTTGGGGGAATTAAATATGCAATCAGCTAAAGATTTAGTGATTCTTTGAGACAGTCATTATGCAATTTTTCTGACAGTAACCATTCTTTTAAATTAACCGGTAAATTTGAAAATTAAGAACAAAATGTTAATTTGGACGTCCAAATTGTTAGAATTTGTTTCTTGAACACAGAGTAAATCGAATCCTTGCCCAAGTAATTAAAAAAAATCCGTCTGATCCACAAATATTCTCTCTCACAATCTTCAGCACCGTTTAAAACTGCAGAGAACTATTAAATGAGACAAAAAAAATCGCCCTGAAACTTCTAATAGAGTGGGAACGTAAGTCAAAGAAAGTTGATTGCACACGAAGCGCCTGAAGAGAAGATGGACAAAAACGTGCCAATAGGTACCGTTGAGGAGTGATTAAAAGTAAAAATCATGAATTACGTAATATTAATAAACGATCCCTGTCAAATTGCTTGACAGGTACAAAGCTTCCAATGAGCATCAGATAACAATTTAACTGTAATTTACGACTTCAGCAAGACTTCGGCCTTTTGGCCACATAAATAGACAGTTTTTCAGGTTAAACTGGTTATGCATAGCACTTCGTAAGAAATCCTTCTAACTGAAGCTCGTCAGAAGCAAGACCTCAACGCATGTTGTACCAATGTGTTTCATTACATTCTTTAATTAACCATCTGTTGCTTTTTTTTCTCGCGCGGTAACCCCACGAAACGTTTGCAAACCTAGGTATTTCATAACGGATCACATTATCTCCACACCAAGGTTTCTTGAATACTTGCGTGCGATAAGTTAAAAAATCAGAAGCAGCTAAATGTCCTACGGTGCTCCTACGCGCTATATTCCCAGTTTGAATAAAGAAGCACCCAAAACCGGAAAAGGGGATGATATTTAGTAACATGGAAACGCTTCCGAGATGGGCTGTCCACAGCTTACCATATTGCGTGTAATTCCACCATGGGCGGAAAAAATATCTCAGCCCGCGAGAAAAAAATGGATTTTGCAGAATTCTGCTGACTGTTTTTTTTTTCCTGTGCTTGTTTGTTTATCATCACATTGATCACGAGACATTTTAGACCTTTTAGAGGAGGAAGAGTAATCAAGAGAGGGAGGCCCATTGATTGATTGGTGATTCCGGTTGGGTCATTAGTCCCTTAAGTGTAGGGTATGTTGTTTATCGCGGGAGGTAGTGGTGATTTTCCCACACTGGATGGCCAGATTGGCGTCATCGCTTATGCGTGTTTTCCCCAACCAGATACCTCCCACCAGCGAGGCACAGCCCCAGACGGGGCAAGCTCTTAAGCTCCCGACCGGCCTCTCGACGTGTGTGGTATTGTTGTGCATGTAAGTAAGTGTGTGAAAGTAATGAGTAAGGGCAAGGCTGGGAAGAGGAAGGAAACGTTGCGCGCGGTCCGTGTCATGTTATTTTATTGATATGTTATTGTTCCGGCAAGCGGCTAGTGTTGTTTGGAAAAAACACCGGAAACTACCGATCAGAGCAGCTAGCCGCTAGAACACTTCTCCAGGCAGCGGATGAATTTGACCTTGTTATCTAGTAGCTAGTGTCCAAAACCCAGCCATCGTCAGGACTCAAACCCTAGGACTCCCTCTCCCCCAGCTGCAGTGACATCAATTGCCGTCCTGTCCTACCTAAGCCAATCTGATGCTCATGCCGGACGAGATAGAGTAGAAGACCAGCGAATCACTATCAATGAATCTACGAAGCGGCGTCCCGCCCACCTTCCGTGCGCCCCGCGCGCAACAGGTGAAACAAGGAAGTGGCGGATCAGTTCGCTTCCGCGAAAAAAAAATCAGTGACGTTGATGAACACTGAGCTTCATTTTTGTTATTCCACAACGACTAACGTAATCAACAGTGGCGACCAGAAGGGGGCAGCTTCGGCGAAATCACCTCAAGCCACGATTTCATTGAAGCCTGACTTTCTTTCACTCAAAACAAATTTAAAAAAAAAATATTTATCTCTAATTCAAATGAAAGGCTACAAAGTATGTCATGAAGAATTGAATTCTGTTTATTAAATGAGGAAAGAGGGATTTCTTTGTTTGAAATGTGGGGCCCCGTGGATCAACTGCCCCAGGCTCCTGGAAATCAATGGCAATGATGAATACAGCATTATTTTCGTCGTATCACAACATCGACTAACGTTAGCCGTAAAGATTCCTTTCGAGCCTGTTGCCTCCCTTTTTTGTTTGTTTGCTGCTGATGTTGTTGTTGTTGTTGTTGGTTTCCGCTCATACCCTTGGCCACTGGGCGGAATTCTTGACCTTTCGAGGCGGACGTTCTCGAGGGGGCAGTTGGCAACGCTGACGTTGCCGGCCACCCGGGGCTGCCGGATGACGGCGTCCGGAGGTAGCTGTCGTCAGCAGATTCCTGTATCTCTTCGTGCGCGCGACCGCCACCCGGAGAGGCGCGTGCGAGCACGCGGAGGCGCCGAGTGAGCCAGGGGCGGGGGCGGGGAGGGAGCAAGTCGGACGGCTACCAGAGATGCGATGTCATCCATTCCAAAGAGTACATAGGAGTAATCGAAAGCTCCCTGTCTTCAAGAACAGAAAAAAATAACAATGTCCGATGTCACTGAAATAAAAAATAAAATTTAAGATGTTTTAAAAAATAAAACTTTGCAACAAATATTAAACTGTCACATAAAAAAAATTGCTGACAAAGTGTAGAGTAGAAATCCTTCGCATGCCTTCCTTCAAAGGGGAAGTAAAGCCGACTGCCCCATGTTAGTAGATTCACTTGCATGTAAAAGGTCCTCAAGCCTAAATGACGCCTCTGAGCTAAATTCAAGTCGCCTATTGCGTCGCCCAAGAAATACCTCCTTTGTCCAATAGTGGATGAAATGAGTGTAGCGAAATTTGCGTGGTCAGACGGAAGAGCAGGCCTCATGACCACGTAAAATAAGGCATTAATTCAATTCAATTCAATTCAATAGAAATTGCACAAAAAATTGTGTGCTGACAGTGTATTTTGTAGTGCGCTACTCGAAAACTGCGCTTTTAGAACGACGTAGATTTTTACTACAGAACATGTTAGAGGAAATTAATTGCTGAATACAGGACTTAGAATTATCCCATTTTTTCAGAATCTGGAATCTGCAATTCCAATTTTTCCTGCCGCAAAAACTCGTTGCTGCATTACATAACTTTCTCTATTCTACGTGTGTAGAACGCGAAAAATAGTAACATTATGTTGAAACGAACTACTCTATTTTCCGTCAAGAGAGACTGCACCACTATTTTCCGAAAAAAACAACAACAACCAAATGGAATTTAAGAAAATACGCGGCAAGATTCTTGAAGACCCCCACAAACATACAGGTGACCTCAATTAACTCTGCCTCGATTACCGTATTCGCGATTGGTCGATCTTACTATTCCGAAACATAGAGTATCAAAGGTGGTTTTAATTCCAAAAAAGTTCCAAAGATACAATTTTCAATTTTTAAAGTGATAAAATTGGATTTAGTTTTTTTCACTGTCGTCCACATTATTTAAAAATCTCAAAAAATATATGTTATCGAATATCATGAGACATTCTGCATAGATTTCACTAGTCCTTTATGTTTTTCAAAAACAATTTCATACTTTACATCAAAAGCTTGTTCTAAAGCTTTTTGGCGATTTCTGTTGGGAGACATTTCCGGCGGGATAATCCCACCGAAGAAGTTGGAAAACTAGAAGTTCCCATTTAGTCTTCACAAGTTTCAACACTCTCACTAGTTAATTCAGACCTCTTTGCTGAGATGCTCAAGGCAAAATTTGAAGTGGCTAAAAGATCATTCACATGTATTTTGAAAACGAGACCAATGGAAATATTTTAATGAGATATTGTAACCAAATTACGATACATTACGAGATACGATACGATAAATTATGAGATAAAGAACAAATTTAATCGGAAATTATTTATTTCAAGCCAGATCAATGAAATAATAGTAACAATCAAAACAATAACAACAAAAGAAGAACAAGTTAATAACTTGGATGAACTGACAGAGCTACACCTTACTATCCACTGCGCTACTTTTATTATCGAGCTGAATGATCAAAAGATCTATTACCCGAAACAGCATGAACCGTGCGTGGGCTACTAGTCCACTCGCTTCTCGTACTACCAGGGAATTTCTCCCCATGATGGGCACCTAAGCGGGTAGCCTTTACCCGCCCCCTCCGCGGGCGTGCAAGAACACTTTGGGCCGGCATCCGGGCCCTACCGAGGCGCCTCCTCAATTAAGCCTGGTTGGGGCACTCTGTTCAAAGCTACTAGCTGTCCAGGCTAGTACCGGCGTCTAATTAAGCGCCATTCACAATCGGGTCGGTAGAATTCCTTCTGAATAGCCCATGAGAATTGGACACTGCCCCGACGAAGCCAAAGACCCGCCTGGGGGCCGTTCAGACCGAAGAAGCCCGGGAGGCTCGGAGTCCCCAATCTGTCACCTTGTTGCATCCACCTTGACGCTATCGACATGAGTAACGCCGGAATCTGATGGGGGGTTCGTGCTCCCTATCGGACGTTTATATGTGGGTTTGGGAACAAGTGCGGCGCCCAATCCTGCCTAAATTTGGGATTAGGCGGGTGGAGGCCCGGCTGGTGGGTCGCCGAGCAAACCCGGCAACCCGCAGCTCACAACCGCCTCTTCACTACCCCCCCCCCTTGGTGCTAACAACGTGAGTGCAGCCGAGAAACTCGGGTCCGAGTGGACATTTCAGCCTACACAAAGTCTCAGGCCTTGAGGAGGCGTCTTATCTACTACCCCTCCCAATGCGGGGCTCCCAAGCACAAGAGGAACAGCCATTCGAGGAACCTCGTGCCAGCATGGAAGAAGCGACTCGACGGGAAGTACATGATCACCGGCCTTAGGCCGAAACCATTAAGGAGAACCTTAGCCACCAAGCCAGGGAGTTGTCAGGAAAGCAACCGTCTTTGCGACACAAACAGGAATACATTTAATAGCGAGCAAAGTACTCGGAAGATTGAACCGCTACTGGATACTTTGAGTCAGAAAGCCAAAGCAAAAGGAATTAGACTCCGCAAATACAATGAGCTAATGAAACAGGAGGAAATGCTAAATTTCATAGTAACCACGGGAGCCACCTTTTTCAGGTGCCTTGAGGAAAAAAAACACTAACTTACAACGGAGGAAAGCAATGAATTCAGAGTTCTAGAATGTGTTACCTCAAAACCTTTAACCTTTGCTTTTTTCTCTTCCGAATCCTGATTAAAACATCAAATTCTTACCCCACTTCTACGAGTTCATGTATTTTACACATCTTTTACTGTAATATGAATAACATATCTAGAATCAACTTGTCAAGGCTTATACGATATTATAAATACTACACAACAAACTAAAGTAACTACCAATATAGACCTAAAAACTTAATAAACCTATAAAATAATTTAATAGAGAAAAAAACGTTTTTTCTACAGAACTGCCTAAATTTATTATCAATGTAATCGTAAATTCCTTAAATAATTATTTTCTAAAACTTTTAAAAAATATAGTTAAAAATTATTTAGGATTCTCCAGTTTCAGCAAAAGGACACCAAGCCAATTTTCGATATTTGCACGCTACAAAGCTAAGCTTGCGCACAAGGAGAGGGGAAATGGATTGGGATGTTGTAATCTTTAAGTACGAAATAAAATATTTTATTTCCGTAAATATGTTTAATTCCTGATTTTCCCTTTTTGACCATTTGGAGTTTTTCATCATTTGGGAAAGAGGCTCTCCAAGTAATCTGGCTATTCTGTATAAATTTCAATTGTATTTATTAATAGTACCATTCAAGTTATAATTTCATTTTCCTTGCAGTATGCAAGGGTGCTTTGTCTTACATTTATTCACTTATAATATATCATATAAAAAAAGTTTAATGAAAGGGAATCCAAAAATGTCCCTTTTTATTTTCGCGCTACCACTTACAAGAATTTTATGTAATGCTGGGCGAAAAACTGTGAATCTGCGGCAGCAAACCTCTTACTACAAGGCCGTGGTAACGAGAAAGTGGATAAATCCAGTTGCTAATTTAGAAACAAAAATTCTCTAGCACGTGGTGTAGCCAGAATCCACGTATTGTGGGTCCTTGATATATTTACAATCGAATGACGGCAAAACGTCAGTTCCTGCGTGAATAACGCCAGCGGCTAAACCGTTAAGCCGTTTTTCTTCAAAAGTGATATTCCCCTATCGATCTTGCTGCGGCCTGCCCCTTGAATTTGAAATCGATATTTTAATTTCGGGGTACTTTACATGAAGCCCCTAGGATATTTTCAAAATTTTTTAAAATGGCTCCATCGTGTTTGATTAAATTTAGTAGTCGAATTGTGTGAAGGACATTTAAGAGATCTCATTTTCGTAGAAAACTAATTTTTCGAAAATAGCGAAAATTCAAAACTTTTTCGACGTCTTTCTACATCACTTATGAAGATAAGGGATTTTCTCTTTAAAAAAATCTGTTCCTTGAAGATAGATTTTTCTATAAGGGCATGTACAATTTATCGAAAATATGAGTACTTTCCGCGTATTTTGCCTGAAAGCACGTGCTATTTTAGCACCACTAGTTTTTGTCTTCGCACATCTATTTTCCAGTGATTTGCCCCTCCGACGGCCTGGAAATTCCATAAAAGTCCGAACAGTTACACTTCTCTCCGTTGTCTGACCAAGCGTCCCTCGAGGATGATGTGAAACTACACGTACGAGAACATGCGCACATTAACCAAGTGTGCGGCAGAGTGTACAGAACTTGCTTCGAGTCGACGCCCAGCGCGAGATGAAGGCCTCCGCCTCTCCGCATACAAAGCTGGGAGCAGCGGAATGGCCGAGACCAACATTTTTTAAGCTTATTCGATTCATATGTCTCTGGAGTTGCCTCGAAGTTTCCAATTAAAAAAAAAAATCACAGATGAACTCCATTATCAGAATGAAATGGAAATCAGGCCGATTCGGATACATTGAAATCCGAATGATTGAAAAGGGTTCAGAAGAGATGCCAGATGTATAGCACTAAACTTTAATTCATGAAATTAAGTTTAAGAAACGTAATGTAAAAAAAACTGTAAATAGTAATACGATTTACGACGATTTTGAGAAAACGTTTCTTATCGAGCTTGAGCAACTTCCAGTTCTTTTTATAGTAAACACAAATACAGTAAACCAATACGTTTTGGATATAAAATTTAAAAATTGATCAGTGACATTTCTTTATTCATATTCACTTTTGGCCAAATTGCA